CAAATGCAAACAATACTGAATTCAACCTTTTTATGAATTTATAATTAACTCTGTATTATGTATAATAAATTCTAAACAATGAATTAATTTTGCTAGATATTAAGACGTGGGTTAATAGAGTTTGACTTTAAATTGTATTTAAAAAATAAAACAAATAAAGACTTTATTTAATATAGTTAACATATAGTTGTTTCATTTATTAAATAAAATATTACATTTTATTAAAATGTGGTACACTTTGAGTGGTAAACCAGATGTGATGCATAAGAATAATTTAATTTCTAAGACTTAACATAGATTTGTAATAAATTGTTAACAAAAATCATTTTGTTTATATATTTTATGTTATAATATGATTGCATTGAAAATAGTTTAAGTCAAATGTTTAAAATATTTTATAAAAGGGTTTCTTTATATTTTAAAAATATAGTGTATGTTTGACTTTATGCTAATTCTTTATATTTAAAGTACGGCTTTATTTTTACATATGATCATTTTAAAAACATAATTAATAATGTAAATTGATTTATTTTAACATCCTGTTATTTTTAGATTGATGTTTTTAAATTATAAATAAATTTTCCACCTTGGTTATGAATAATGAATTTAATATGTTATATAATATATATGTATGTGTATTGACGTCAATACAAATACTTCCCATAAATAAAAGACTTTTGTAAATACATTCAAAATATAAAGTTGGTAAATAAAAAAAATCAAAATCACTATTGACTTTCTAACTTTAAAAAGTAAATTATTATCAATAAAATAATTACAAATTGTTTTCAAATATTATTTATTTAAACAGGAAGCATTTGCTTTATGCATTTATTACGCAATTAATTAGGCATCTGATTGAGTGGCCCTGGTACAAAGTGAGGCATCTGCGAAATATCAGTATATAATTCATCACCGGGACACTCAGTGGTTGTCAGTGCATCCCGGTGCCCATGCAGTTGATAATCAGGTCTAATATAGCCTTTATTTTTAGCACATTTAATTAATTCCTCCAATGCGTCCAACATGTCAACACTCGGCTCCACCTCATTATAATTGCCCACAAATGCTATTCCCAGTGAATACCGGTTCCAATTCAGTGTGTGGAAGCCCTCCTTATTCCAGCCAACCCCTTCATACACCTGTCCGTCACCACCTAATATAAAATAAATGTCATTAAATTAATTTAAATAACAAAAATAGGTTTCAAAATGTGAACCAATAATGAAATTCCAGGCGATGTCTGTCCAGCCTTTGTTCAGCTGATGGTAACTCTGAAGGGATCGCAATCTCACGGAACAGTCGTTTTGATTATTACATGTATTTCCATCGTCGGTGTGGTGTATGAATACGTGTCCGACCGGCGCTAAACTTTTCAGATTAGTCTTAGGACTCCTGGACCTCCAAGCGGACCGTGAAATGNCTCTGAAGGGATCGCAATCTCACGGAACAGTCGTTTTGATTATTACATGTATTTCCATCGTCGGTGTGGTGTATGAATACGTGTCCGACCGGCGCTAAACTTTTCAGATTAGTCTTAGGACTCCTGGCCTTCCAAGCGGACCGTGAAATGATGCCAATATTTGGGCACATGTTTTGTGTCTGTCCCGGGTTTGTGTCTATGATTTGTAATTAAAATTATATAATAATAAATAAGAATGTATCAAATTATCCACATACATTTATTATTGCAGTCGCGTTGTCCGAAACAGCATATCTGTGCCCGATTGGCACAAATATTGTTAGCTATGGTGCCTTTGCAACACATCTTATCGGCAGTATCCATGCAAAAGCCAAGTATGTTATTAGCTTGACACTGACCACATTCAACCTTTAGGCTCAGGTTTAACGTTAAAAACAAATTGAACACAATTGCGATCACAATTCTAATGCTAAACATGTTTAATACCAAAAATCTTACTTCATTTAGTGATATAAGTTTCTGTACAATAGTCAAATAAAGTAAATTTAATAAAACTATGGTTT